CAAGGCTGAGGGGGGAAACAAGACAATTTTTAAGCGTAAAAGCAGAAGGGAGATAATTTAATTTCCTGCCAAAACATTTGACTTGTGTGAGCTAACAAAAAAGTAGTGAAAAATGAGTGAGGGGTGGGATCTCTCTCATGGTTTCTCTTGGGTATAGGCGAGAGAAGAGTGGTATAAAGTAGATGTTACGTTACACTCCCGTGCATCGCACCGGCCGTGCCCCAGCTGGTACCTCCTTAGGGCATGCAGGTTCCACTCTTGCCCAGTGCGGCAGGTTGGAGATGATGATGCTGGTAGGCAGCTGCCGGTAGCACATCGGGGAAGGCAGTTGGTGATGGGAAGAGAGCAATGCTTTGGAAAGTCAATTAGATGAGTGAAATCTCCATCAGCCTTAATAATGTTCAACTGGAGATAGTTGGGAATATTTTCTTCCTTTAGTGTATGGAAGAGATTGAAAACAAGTAGTTGAATATTCCTCTCCCAGCCTAAATTTTGTTACTTGACCCTTTGCGTCTTAGGAACCTTTGTACTTCCTTTCTGAAACTGAAGAGAAAAAATCCTTAAAAATAGGTCTGATTAGTGAAATTGGGTCTTAAAAACTATGCAGTGATGGCAGGGGTCATCCATCCTGAGCGGCTGCAGGCATCTTCTTGTCTGGCGGGTTGCGTGAGGCAGTTTAGGCTTTCTCTGGCTCCCAAAGGACAGGTCTATTTCTGGGGACTTAATTGGCGTTTGTGGTAGCCTTAGCATCCAAAACAATAAAAAAAAAATAGTAATTGGCCGTAGAGAATGTTTTCTCAGCCTCCCTTGCCACAACAGTATGAGCAAGTATGTTAGCAGGATCCTCTGGGGATATTTTCTGTCATGTTCTTGTTCAGTGGCTACATAGATGCCTTTGTTTGCTGTTGTCGTTAACTGGAACCATCAACCAGCTGTAAACTTCTTGTGTCCATACTGTGTCTAAATGGGATAAAAAAATGTCCCAAGAATTCAGTGTTATTTTAATGTGTTCTCCCAGAAGAATTTGTCTGGACTATCAAAATACCCTGTTGCCAAATGGGAGCTGGAGGAAAAAAGCAAAAAAACCCCTCTTCTGCTTATTGTTTCCAGACAATGATTTGTGTCTTCATTATTCACGGACAATAGGTCTACCAAGCATAGTGCTGTCAGTCTTTGTAATTCGAATAATCTCAAATCAAAACTGTCACGGGTCATCGAAGCAGGCCACTGGTTCTGTGTAAATACCTTGCTGCAATGCCCCAGGAAACTTCATCGTGAAGCTAAAGCACGTCAAGTAATCACTATCTAACTTACTTAGTTGGAGGGGTTGTACTGTAAACAATGATCAGTGGTAAACAAGGTGAGATTATAGCTATAATCTGTTTGTAAAGGCTAGAACGATGTCTGCATCGCTGTTATCGCCATGCAACCCCCCCGTGTTTGCTGTTCTCTGCAGTACCGTTGTGTTACTCAAAGTCGTGAGGTTCAATAAAATAAACTTTAGGAGAAACTAAGCCCCTGAGCCGTTTGCAGCGCTGCCGTAGGCCTTGCAGATTCTCTGTGTGTGCACCTGAGCTTTACTCTGGGGCTGAAACACCGGGAGAAGGGCTCGGTTTAGGATGCTACTCTTCTTGGCGTTCTGAGCGATGCTGCGTTGGTTGGTGGGGTTGGTTTTTCTTCTGCTTCACCAAGAGCAAAGCACTACAAGTTTAATTTCCACAGTCTGACTTCTGTGTTTCTCCAGCTGATATGATAAGGCGTCTCTTAGCTGTTTTACCCAGCATTATGCATCATTCTTCTGTGAATGCTGTTCCTCCAGCTGTAGTGGGACTCCTCAAGTTGTGGGGGTCACCGGTACGATCAGCCATCATTCCTTTACTGAGCTGTACCCCGCTAGAAAAAATACCGAGTCGCAGTTAGTCACCTGCTCCCACTCAGCCGTGCCAGGACGGGTTTGCCGGACTAAGTCTTTTACAAGACGTGCTCCGTGTTGTTAGTGGTAGTGAGGCACGTTTCTGACTGGGAAAGGGGATGGAAGATCTGATCAACCTCTCTTCGCTAGCGGAAGGCTTTGTTTACAGCCGGTTGTGTCCTATTGTGAAGGGCAGATGATAAATGGGGTTAGGCTAGCCCAGTGTTTAGATGACATTCATGGGAATTATTCATCTATGATTGTTGTGGTGAGGTCATGTGCTGTGTCCCATGCTATGCTGCTCTGCCAAGAGATTTATTTTAATAGAAGCCTTTAAGTAACTGGCATTCTTGCTAATCATGGTGCATCTGCTTCTCTGGGTTCCCTGTTATGAGTAATTTAATGCTATTACTTTAGCTAGAAGGGATCTGTGTCACCATCTGTCCTGGAAAGCTATTGATGGGGCTGTGCAGAACATGGAGTGTCATCAGTAGAAGAGAGGGACTTCTAAAGGGATGACTGGATTTCCTGTTGTAATACAATATAAGACGGTTTACTGTGATTACAGCTTAGATATCTTGCATATAAAGGCTGTTAGCTACTCTTTGATTTTGTTGGGGACCATTCCTCAGATATTTATACGGAGGGAGGATCCTGTCGTCAGTGAGTAGTAATAACAGAGGTGATCTGCTACGTAAAGTCTCTGCTTCTCGTAGGGCCGCGAGGCTGAAAACTTGGAGACTGACCCTAAAATGCCCACACATCTGCTACTCCCAGCAGACAGATTTCTTTGGAGAGGGCTTGCCAGACACTTTTCAAGCCAAATGCTTTCCTAATCGATGGTTATTTTTTAATTATTGTTTACAGACCACTTCCTTGGAACAAGCCCTCTCCATGCTGTTGCTGAGCCACAATAGGCATGGAGAGGCTCTATGGTTGGAAAACAAATTGCTCTTCACTTCCCTAAGTGCTGTGCTCTCGCAGTGCCATGTAGGTGCAGAGTGCCATCCTGGTCTCTCAAGTGCCCGTGGCTCATGTCTTCATTTTTATTGTCTGAGAAACCGATCTTCTTTTTGCCTTTGTGATGGGTTACTCATTGTCCTGTTCACCATCTAACCTGGCTGGTTCGGACCTTCCCCACCTCGCTGCGGCTTGTTGCCTTCTCGGCAAGCGAACTGCTAAGTGCGAGAGCACGCGGGGCTAGAAGCGGCTTTGTGGTGTGGGGTTTTTCTTTGATCGTGCTCTCCTTCCCAGCGGTAAGTTATGATTACAGCATGTTTGGAAATCTGGGAACCTGGTGGTTCTGTGCAGGTCTGGCTTGGCACAGTCCTGGGAGGTGCAGGGTCCACTCAGTGCTGTGGATTTATTTTGGAATTGAAAAACTCCCAAGTATGTTTTGGTCCCAGGTGAGGGCTCGCAGATTTGCCTTGGAATTGCTGCTAACCACACAATCTAGAGTGGAGACTCAGGTCTGGTGAATGTGCGATTCTACGTGTGGTAGTTTGGCACAAAAAGAAGCCGTATTTCCTCTGCTTATGATTTCCACGTGCTTATGCCATATAATAAAACTCTACATCTCCATAATTTGTATCAGCTGTTCAGAGCAGATGCTGTGCTGTTATTCTGTCTGACACATTCGCTACACCCGCTGGGTTACTGCCTTTTCCGAGACCTTTGAATTAACCAGATTTTTGGGTCATCAAGATTATTTAATGTTATTGTCATAAATATTTGTACAGGACTTGGTCAGTGCTTATATAAGAACTGAAAGACAGTAATTTGTTTTAAGAGGATGTGTGTTTTAATGAACTGCCAGCTGAATGTTAGATATAAACTGTAAAAAAGTGCTTTTCTTTTGCAGGGCTATTGCAGCTTGTGGAGTAGGGAAAAAAAAAGATGATTTAGATTGTCAGTTATTTAGAAATGTCGGTTACAGATGTTTAAAATTGCTTGAGAGCTCTTTTAAAAGAGGACTATTTACTTCTAAATAGCTGTGTTGGCTTATCGTCCTGTCCTCAAAAGACGAGAAGCTGATCTCTTGCATCTTATTAATCATCTTCTGTTAAACCATGTTATCCTTTGAATTGTTTGTATGCCAAAAATGAGAGGTTTGTTATTGTGTTATATTTCACAGTTGATTCTTGCATAAAATTCCATTTTTTTTCCCCTTAATTTCCAAAGTCCTGTCGTCTCAAATGCAAACAATAATCTCAAAATACTAACAATATGAATCTCTTGTTTGGAAATGATGAAGGTTATACATCATCCAATCTGCTGAAATGTGTTAAAAATTAATAAGTATTTGGTTTGCCTCTAGCTCTTCTTAGAAGCAGTGAAATTAATATTCCTATTTGTTTTATTGAAGGAGTTTTTGCCAGGTTTCTCAATGAGGGACAATTCCACAAGTAAGCCAAAATACAGAGGCTGCCAGGGGGTGCTGTGTGCATTCTGGCAAACTTGGGTTGTTTCTTCTAAATATCTTAATTAGCAGAGCATAGTCTCCGAACTGCACTTGGAGAGCTGCTGCCCTGCCAGACCACAAGCAACAAGCTCCCAAATCCTGTGGTTTTAGGTCACTAAATAGCCTTTAGTACTGTGATGTTGTGCCGAGCGTGTGTATGATTCTTCACGCTGATACACCACCACAAGAATCCGCCCAGCTGGACCAGCTCCCCTTCGCCGTGTCATCCGCTGATGTGACAGCTTTTGGGGCCGTTGCGGGGGTTCACTGCCGGAGCAACGGTTTGGTGTGCTCCTGGGAAGAGCCGTGTGTAACCTGTCGTGGGAGCAGGAGTTGATGTGTCACTAGGTCTCCATTCAAACTCTCCATTAGTGTCCAAATCCAGATTTTTACAGGACCTTTAATAAATCATCTCTCTGCTCCCTGTGCTGGCCAGATGAGTCCCTAAATCTTTCCTTTATACAGGTTTGGTCATCTTACTGCCAGGGTGCTGCTACAGTTCTGCTCTCTGGATGAAGCGCTGCTCTCAAGGAGTCCTAGAAACCACCCCCAGTGTTACGTGCTTTGAGATCTTGGCATGTACAATGCCCTGGGAGGATTAACTCTGTGGTGTATTTTCCCTTTCAGAAAAAGAGCAGAGAGGAGACATGTGGGGAAGGCAGCGGAGTAGAGATCCTGGAGAACAGGCCATACATGGATGGACCGGGAGGCAACGGGCAGTATACTCACAAAGTGTACCACATTGGTATGCACATACCCAGCTGGTTTCGGTCAATATTGCCCAAGGCAGCTCTGCGAGTGGAAGAAGAATCGTGGAATGCATATCCTTATACAAGGACAAGGTAAAACTTACCAGGATGCCCAGAGGTGTTTCCCAACTTTAGAGAGAGGATTTGATGTCCCTCTGTGGGGCAGTGGGATCTCTTCCATCTCCAGCAACATCCTTTAGAGAAACCAGGGTCAAGTACCAAGGTTTTTACGCCGTGCTTAATCTCACGAGTGTTGTTAGGGCTGACTGTGCAAATGTGCTTGAGAATTTGTGGCTTGTTGCTCAAAAATGTGAGCTGTTTTGACCATCAGAGCATGGGAGATCTTGGGGTTTATTTACCCTTGTATCCTGCACTGCGTGTTGTGCTTAATGCTGCAGATACCTGCTAGCTCGGGGGGTATAAACGTGCACTGTACTGGGGCAGTTTTCGTGTTGAACACAAGTAAGACAGGATTCATTTGTTCTAGGGGGGCAAGAAAAATCTTGACAAATAAATAAATCTGGTGCTTCTTTTCTGGGAGCTGTCTTACTGTCATTTAGCTAGAAAACAACAGCCCTATATCCTATGGTTCTTACCCTGAGAAGGGAAGAGGACCAAAGGCTCTGTGGAGCCCTCTGGGACCTACTCGTTTTGGCTGATTTTGTCTGGAATTCTGTTTGTCAGATATGCTGGAATGAGTAAGTCTTTATGCCAGTTACTGGAATTTAGAGCATTTGCCCTTTTCCAGGTTTACAAATCTGATACTGCTGTCATCTTTCATAATAAAAAGGCTTTAATGGGTATTTTGATTTTTGTCAATCTAGAAAAGTTTCTTAGTCCTGTTTTTGCCCCTCCCTACGTGTAACATTAGTCTGGGGAAAAGTGAGGAGTCGTGTCTGCGTATGGGCAGTTGTTCGTGACTAAATATAATGGAGCTGTCTGACTTTCAAGTGTTTATAGTCCACTTCCAGTCTGTTTTTATCTGTTCTCTTGAAATCCCCGTGAGTTAATCAGTTGGCCAGGAAACCTGGCACTGCACAAAACCAGTCTATATTTTATTCTGCCCCAGATCCCAGGCAAGAGCTCTGCTTTTCTTCTGGTAGGGATGCCTTCCCAGGGTGTCCTTGTGTTCATGTCTGTGTCATGCCTGCAAGGATAACATAACTCATTGGTATAACAGATCCAAAAGCTACTTCCATGCTGAAAACGCCTCCTTTAAAAGCCGTTTGTCCTGCTAACCTTCTCCTGGAGGAGACGTCATCAATCTAAGTTGCAGGTTTTGGTCAGCGTGTGCGTAAAGTGAGAGGATCTAGTGGCCCCTTGGGCTTTCTCCTGCCAGTACTTGCCTGTTGCCACCCTGGGAAGCTGTTTCCTGGTCAGTGTGGGTGCCCAGTCTGCAGTAACTGTGCAGCACGTTGGTATCTTCCCACCTGTAACAGCCTGCGGGGAGCACAACCCTTTGCTCTGGGCTTGCAGTTTTACTGAACCAGAGCTGTTCCAGGGAAGCCATGTGTCCACGTCCAGGGCGAGCTCCTGTCTTGTTATTAAAGAAAATCTCTTTAATCTCTACGGTTGGTATTTTAAGCATATCTGAGGTAAAATAGGAGTGAAGGCTGGATTGGGTTTGAGGAAAGCATTTTCTCCGCATGCCAGGCTGAGTGGGATTTACTCTAAGCTGCATTGTTCCCATTTGCAGGTATACGTGTCCTTTTGTGGAGAAGTTCTCTATTGATATTGAGACATACTACAAAACTGATCCGGGAGACCATGTCAACGTCTTCAACCTTTCTCCTGCAGAAAAAAGACAAACCATTCTAGGTGAGTTTTCTTTTACTTTTTCCTTTAGTCTGCTTGCTTTTATTCTCTGCTTGGTATGGCCCATCTGCCTGCCCATGCCCACGCCTGCACCCCTGTCGGTGTCGGACACGGGGCAGGGTTACATCGAGTGAGGCCACCCGAGTTCTCTTCTAGGCTTGGTGTGAATCTTATGACAGTCATTTGAATCCCTGTCTGTAAATTCAAGCTGATGCTTCCCTGCCTAATTTGTGCAGCTCCCGAGGGGAATAAGTCATCTAATGATTTTGGGGGGAATAAACAGAAATAACCATAGAAGAGGATAATATTGCTGTGTAATTGTGTAGCTCCTTTGTGTATATGAAAATCATTCCTATCTGCACTTGTGAAACATGAGGGTGTATTTCATTTTGCTTCCTCCCCTTTCAGTCTTGCCCTCGTGCCAGTTAACACTTCAGCTTTACAGCTGTCTTTAGAAAATCGGGTTCATGAGCCTTATACATGTAAGGATTTGCTGAGAAAAGGTGAAAGGGAACATCTTGTAAAAAGGCAGAGAATGGCAGGTATCATAGCAATTCCTCTGTCTTGCTGTCCATCGTGGTCTGTGCCTGTGGCGTCTGCCAGGGAGTGCTGCCCTTAGAGCCATGCAGGACTGAAGCACCCCTTGCTCTGGGGCCGCAGCAGTGATTTTTTGCTGGGGCTGGCTGCGGGACGCAGCCTGAGTGCTGGGGAAAGACATCTGGCCGCTGCTTTGGCTCCTGAGTACTGTGGACGTGCAGGACATGGCACTAACCTCCTGCAATTTTCCTTGAGTGTTACTTGATTTAAACTTGTGTTTTGAGCTTCGGTTTGACTGTCCTCGTTGCCAGCCTATCTGATCAGGCTTTCAGTACTAACAAATGGGCTCGAGTCGTGCTGCCTCGCTGAGAAGTGTTAGAAGAGCTGTTGTTTCTTGGGAAGTGTGATCCTGCCCTTCACTCCAAACCTGAGATGCTTCTGCTGAGCTCTGGGGTGGGGGTTGCAGATCTTTAAAATACGTTCATTCACATCGCAGTTTCCGCTTTGCCGTTGTTGAAGTGTTAATTAGGACCCAAGTTAAACTTTCTGCCTTCCATAGTACATCTGGTGTAACAGTAGCCTGTGAGAAGTTGCCATAACCTCACTTGGTGAACTCCAAAGATAATCAGTGGATAGAGTCTACAGCAGTCCTGGGAAGGGGCAGGGGTATTTAACTGTCTGAGACGAGACAGAGCTGTAGCACTGTGAGTGATATTAGAAAAGATGAAATGTGCCAGAGACCTTTGTGGAGCTGGAAAGTGGGCAGATCTGCCCGAGTGCTGCGGATCTGCAGTCGCCGTGGGCAAAACCGTCTATTTGGAGCAAAGCCTCTTAGCTGGAACTGGGCCTACTAGTTCCTCTGGCAGAGCTGACCACTGCCCAGCAGTGATGTATAAACAGTTGAAGTATCAGTTGTTTTAAATTGCTGTAATGCTTCTGGTACTGACTAAACCAGAAATAACTCCCGAAAACTAGTTATTTTCTTCTTTTGTTCAGAAAAAGGAAATGTCTAACTGTTTCCATTCTCTTTCTGTAGATCCTATTGATATTGTTAAAGATCCAATCCCTCCACATGAATACAAAGCTGAGGAGGATCCAAAGCTGTATAAATCAGTGAAGACCAAAAGAGGCCCTCTCTCAGAAGACTGGATTCAAGAGTACAAGAACAACCCTGGGAAATACCCCATCATGTGTGCATATAAACTGTGTAAAGTCGAGTTCAGATACTGGGGGATGCAGTCGAAAATCGAGCGGTTTATCCATGATGTTGGTGAGCATTTACAGTAAATGTACATTTACTTGCAAAGTTCGCTCCTTAATGTTGTTTCTGAACCGAAACACAAAGGTGAGGTGTGTACAGTGTATTGTAACCCAAGATGTGTCTGTGAAGAGATTCTCAGATCTGATTACTCTTTTGCAGAGCTGTGGGTTAGATCAGAAAAAAATCGCATTATTCTATCGATTGTAATCGTGGAATGTATGAGTTCAAACCACGTGTAGCCTCTGAGAGGGTTTCAAGTCCTGCATTGAGTAGGCAGGATCTTGCATTCTCTCTCTTTTTCAGATAAGGACTCATTTGCTAAACTTTGCCAGATCATTTTCAAAATCTGCCAGTTTTTTTTCCTGTGAACAAAACCCTCAAGGACTGCTCAAAGAAATAAGCCTCACTTCTGAGTCCTAAGTGGTTCCAGAAAACCACTTCCTGGAGCATCCCGTTTCTCCCTGCCACGTGGCAGGGCTGCTGGGTCCCTTTGGGGCCTCTTCCCCCAGCTGCAGAGTTCAGGGCTCCCCAGCCCACCGTGCTATAACCCACCGTGGCTCATTGACAGTTCTCAGTTGCGAGTAAATGTGCTGCTTTGATTGATGCATCATTCGTGGGTCAATGCTTTTCAGGAGGTATTGTTTGTGTAGGAGCTAAGTGGAGACAGTGGTGGCAATGTTGGCAGTAAATTGTTCTTTGCAGAAAATCCATAACACAACTGATACAGTGTCTGAGCCTTGCCACAAGAGACAGGATCTGTGGCCAGGTGGAAAAACTCAAGAATGTTTTAAAGAAGCGTTCCCATCTCAAAACAGTGCAGAGCTATGGCTGTCCTCTGGCAAAGAAAAGGCCAAAGAAAGGCTATGTAAAGGATGCTGCCTGCTTTCTGTGCACAGTAAACCCTCCTGCGTGACCTCTGTGGCTGTCCTTTCTGTATGCAAAGCTTCTCTGAAGTGCCTGATGCTAGCCTAAGTAATTTATTTGGTAGCTCTTTTCAGTCATATTGTGCTCCCGAGAGCTAATGTGGAAAACTCCGATAGAGCAGCGGAGAATAGCGTGCACCGCTCTCTGAACAGTCACAGGTGGCTTTCTTAAGGCTCCTTTGGTTTTACTTTACCCCCAGATGGAAGTTTCTGCCTGCTCTAGGCTGTATTGCAGGAGGCTCTCTGCAATCAGCTCCCTTGGCGTTTCGGTGACATGGGTTAATTCAGTGTGTACTGCAAAACACGGGGGCAGAATAACAACTCCATTGTATCTGTTAAATGAAAAAGAAACATGTGACTCTTCCACTTGTTCAGAGGTGTTTGGCATAGATTAAACTGTGGTCCCTTAGAAAGGTTTCTTTTGTGTTTCATGAAAGATTGCCTGCCATTTTCCTCTTGATTGAGGCTTTGCAGAGAGCGGAGCCAGCTCATTGTCTGCCTTTCAAAAGCCTTTCCACTCTGTTATAATGATGGCAAATACAATTTTCCAAAGTGGTTAAGACGCATAAAATCAGAAAAGTCTTTAAGGCAAGATGAAGTTGAGTGAAAAGTGAAAGCAAAAGCTTTGGGTACCTCCAGCAGATGTGTAGCCTTCCCTTGCCAGGGGGTAGCCATGGGGAAGCTGTTAGTGACTGGGAAAGGTGCTGTAGCACGTGTACCAAAGACAGCAGGACGTAAGGATGTTTAAGTTGGAAAGATGTGGGCTACAACGTGACTGATCAGGCTTAATTGCTGATCCCAGTTTTGGTGTTTCAACTGGTGACCGAAAGCAGATGGAGACCCTTGTGCGTTGTGCAACCGATGCTGGACCAAGCTCTCGGGTGTGAGATGTTCTTGTGGGCCAGCCCCTCCTTGGCATTTCTCTGCTGGTTCCTCTGTTCCCAGCTCCTGAAAATTTGTTTCTGGGGGGAGGTTAGTCCACACGGTGCAGAGTTGTCAAGCCAGCAAGAAAACGGAGGCAGAAACCAGGAGCGGGATCCAAACTCTGCCCAAGGCGGGGAGCAGTACTTAGTGGTGCAACCTAAAATTAGAGAATGGGTTGAAAGAAGAACACGTCTGAGTTAAGTGATGGATGGATTGTGATATGTAGAAAGGCTACTGGGCGCAGGGGGAGTAACTCTGGGGGCTGGTGTTGAAACGTTCTCAGTCCTACCAAGTGCAACAGCCATTTTTTCTGATGACTAATTGGGCAGTTACTCAGTGCTTTGACAGCCTGAAACACAGACTAAAATTGTGGGCTATTAGTCTACTTGGCTGTAATATTTGTATGCTTTTTTACTCCTTTCCCATAGAATTTAAGACTAATTGGACTGGCACTGCATAATGTTCTGCTCCCACTTGCTTCCTAATGGTGCACGTGGGCTATGATTCTTTTGTTGTTAAACAAGTGTGTTGACTGTGTATGGGTTATTGATTACACACCATGGCAGAGTGCGTTCCCGTCCCCGTAACTGCACCTTTGTCTAAGCCACTACATCCTAGGCTGAATATCCCCAGATTGGTGCGCAGTGGTGAAGTGGAAGTGGGTTTTCGAAAACTCTTTGGCAGAACTTTGGCTTCACTGAAGCACTCAGAAAGAAAGTCCATCCGGAATGGCACTGCCCGTGGGGGCCTGCAGGTAGTTTTTCCTTGGGAGAGGTCTGAGCAAGGGGAGGTAGGGAAGGAAGCAGATGTAACTGCGGGTTGCCTTTGGTCAGATACATTCAGGCAACCTGCACTGTACTGACCGGGTTATGGGATCTGGTTTGACTGTCAAGGAAATTGTGTTGCACGGGGAAAATGAGGTATCCTTCATCTGCCGCCAGGAAATTGTGAGGGTGCACTGTAAAATGCTTTGGGATGTTGCTGCTAGATACACAGTTGACGGGCATCCGAAGAATTGCTTTGTATGGATAGTTGAGGGGGGAATTGGGCAGGATTTGGTGGTGGGTTGTTTTGATTTGTTTTGGAGCTTTTTTGCATTGAGTTATTGTTAGGTTTACTGTTCTTACTTCACGTCGAAAACCAAACCCAGCACTGTAGACAAAAGCTTTTAAATTCAGCTGAAGAGTGCTCTCTGTCTTGGCTCGTCTCATGGTCATTCACACTTCCTTCTGTGAGACTAAGCTGAACACCACAATCTGCAAGCGAAGCGTTTACAGGAGTCAGCATCTCATGGATTCAACCAGACTCTGAGTTGTTGAGGTGGTGAGCTGAAAGGCAAGTGATTTAAATGTTTGCACTCTGCTAGACTCTTCGCAGATGATCTTTCTGCACAGCGCAGTGGGAAATGTTATAATTCAATCAACGCGACGATGACGGGTACTACTGAACTCAGTCTGCCTGCGCGCATTTGGGCATGTGGTGGATTTTTAAACAGGAGCGTTGCGTGCTCTATAGAAATAATAGTCTTATTAACTACTGATATTACTGAAATCAGTTGGCACCTGCATCCTTATAAAAAAACCTGTTCCTATGATTTCTGATTGACTCCAGTGTGTAACTTGCCTGCTGAGACTGCAGTTATCCCCTGATTCTGGGAAAGAAGGCTCCAATGAGCAGGGTGCATGCTGAGTGGAGGGGAAAACCTGCTCTAAAATCCTCCCTGACTCTCCTGTGCCACTCGGTTCTCTCCTCACACTGGAGACTCTCCTTGCGAGACCATCTCCTACCCCGCAGTTCTTCCACACTGCCCCTACCACAGCACAGCTGGTGGCGGGGGCGTGCAGGAGTGTTGCATTGCCCGGAGAATCGCCTCCCCTGGGCTTCCTGCATTCTGTCCGACCTGGAATGATGTGACCGGTGGGATGCTGTACCCAGCCTGTCCTCCCCAGCTCCCGCTACCCGGAGACAGCACGCCACAGGCTTGCAGGGCAAACTGCTAGATGGGCTGCAGCCGGCCGTGAGGTGAGGCTCAGAGCACAGTGTGTGGGCTTGAGTGCAGGACAGGGCCTTCTCGGGCTGAGCTGGAGACTTTGCACCTCCTCTCCTGCCAGAGAGGAAAATGAAAGCGAACGGGACCACGGTTGCCTTCAGCACTATCCTGATGGGCATCTCTGGCCTGCTAAAAAGAGAATTTTTCCCAATTACAATCTTTTCTGGGTCCGAGCTGTCCCCTCCTTTTCACTTTTCAAATAAAAAGCTTATTTTTTCTCTTAACATTTTGATAAAAAACGGTTTAAGACTTGATTTTTTGCATTGCATGAGGAGGGAAGCAGTGTCCAGACTGGCGAGGTCAGTCATTTGTAGCTGGATCTTGAATCCCTATAGTTGCATGGGGCCACTCGGTGTGTCCTCTGGGTCCTGCTGCCTGGTGGAAGGCTTCAGCGCTGCCAGCTGAAAATTAGTTCAGTGGTACACTCACTGCTCTGCACTGAGGGACTGCTCAAGTTTTCCATCCCTAGCAACAAAGATTATTTTTTTTCGAGCCATGACTTTTATTTTTCAATTCCTTTTGTACCTGGACAGCCTCATTCTCTTCCAGGTTTCCTGCCTGCGTTTAAGAGAAATGCAGCATCGCTGACACATCCCAGGCGAAGGCCAGAGGCTAGAAAAATAATCTCAGTCTTTTTGATTTCATCACTGATCTGGAGCGATAGAGGCACAACAGCCGTGAAGGCCGGTAACGCCATCCTGTTTTCAGAAGACCAAGGCTTTAAGGAAGGGGAATCTGGGATGTCTAATCAAAGGGATGTGAGCCGTGCTGATGGGGAGGTCTGTGGGCTGGGAGGAAGCAATACAGGCAATTTTTGTGATCGAAGAGATTAAGTGAAAGAAGGCAGAGGGGAACTTAAGGAGACTGGTTTTTACCCCCAAGTGTGTTTCATGTTCCCTGTGATGTTAGTCCCTTAAAACGAAGTTACGTCGTCCTTGGCATCTGCGCCTTTACGCAGAGAATTGCCGAGCAGTTGGTGCATTGGTACATCAAGGCTGGATCCAGGAGCATGAGCGGAGGCTGCAGCCCCCTGGAACGGAGGGAGGCCTTGGGATGAGAGTGAGGGGACCGTTTGCTCCTGTGTCTGATCACGGTCTGTGATCAAGGTGTTTAAAGCAACATTGTGGATGTGCAAGTCCAAAGGATGGTTGTGGTGTTGGGGACTGAGTTACAGACAGGGAAACATTTTCTTGACTTTCAGTGTGGATGTCATGGGAGTTTAATCTTCATCCTTAAGCTCTGCTGATTGTCAATCATAACGGGAGGTGAAGAGGCTAAAATATTCTCTTGTAGTTCTGCAAAAAGTAATCTGGTGAGGGAAATAACGCTGCATCTCCACTAAGGTCGAACAGAATTGAGTTTCTGGGGCCCCTTGTTCTGCCCCCAGAAGGTCACAGTCTGTTGGCTCAGACTTGCGTCTCCTGTGCGGAGCTCTGTCTGAAAGTCAGGCAGAGAAATGCTTAAAATATTGATAGATTTAATCTTAGTGTGTAAATGAAGTTCAGGTTGAGCTGGTCTGTCGCATTAGCTACTGATCTCCGTGGTTATTTCCTCCTGATCGGTTGACTTGTGTTGGCTGGTGGCATTAAGAACTAACCAAAGCGCAGAGCAGAAAGTGAAGTGCCCAGGCCTGGAAGGAAGTAACTATCTAAAAATTGGCTTTTTGTGTGATTAAAAAAAAAAATAAAAAGGAAAAAAGTGATTGCTGAAAACAAAAGGGATATTTAGGCAGAAGATCACAGAACCGTGGCAGTAGTGAGATCTAAGAGTTTCTGTGCAGCGGTGAAGCAAACGTTGCTGGAAGCACCTTAGAAGCAGTCTGCGGTGGGACTGTCCAGCTTTGGCCGTGCTCCTGGGGGTGGAGGGTGGCTGAGGAGGGCTGTCTTTACCCTTGGTGGTGCTCAGAGAGCTCGATCTGCAGCTCCCCAAACCTCAGTGATTGTAAGGTAGCCTGCTGATGGCTCTGTCTTGCAGTAGCAGCGGTGGTGGTGTGGCCTTTGGCCAGGGTCTGCGTTAGGGCGAGGGGATGGCTGCCCTGCCTGCCGGCTTTTTGACACAGTACATTTCTGCTCCAGGCTTTGTGGATCCATAATCCCACTGACAGCAAATCCCACTGCTGCTTTTGGCGTGTCCTTCAACCCGTCCCTGCCTCAGTCTCCCAGTAATTAAAGGGGGCACAGTAGTCACTGATTGATTTTGTTCTTTTTTTCCCAGAAGGGCTCCTGAGGATTTGTTTGTCCGTATTTATAGAAGCCTTTAAAAGCACCATTACTGCTGTGTGCTCCCATTGGTAATATACAGCAGTGTGGAGCTTTGACCTGTCATGAGCTTTTAAGCAATAATATGGGTTGAATCCTGAGTGACTATACTGTTTTAAAAGTCTTGGTGCTATGATGAAGGTAGCCAACAAGTTTAAGTCCTGGAGGAAAGTTTCTGTTGCCTGGTCAGGAGCATTGTGTGTTGCTATTGAGACAGTTCTTCCTTTCAGATATGTGCTATGTTGAAATATTTTAAATTGGCTTTACCCACTTCATTTTTTTTCTCATGCAGCAGAAGACAGATGGTGGCTGCAAAATAAAGCATCTTCATTCCTTCCCTTACTTTGCTTCCCATCCCATCATCTCAGAAGCTTGTTTTTGTGATGCTGTTTCGCTGACAGATAGAAACCAGGTGCAGAAACCAGGTTTCCAAGGAAAGGAGAGATTTTTAGTCTTAGCACTACTGATGTGGATGTGCTTTTGTCATGTAACAGTTGTGGTGGGCTGTGCAGTGTTCATGAAGGGACTACCTGAAACCCTCCTGGGTTAAAAAAAAAAGGCTTTTTTTTGGTTGATGTTGGCTTTTTTCTGTTTTTCTTCACTTCGAAGGCTGGATCCAAATATTACAACTTCCTAGAACTTCAGAGGAGTTGCAATTGTGGTCTGTTCCCAGCTTCTCCTTGGTGGAGAAGTCACAGAACAAAGTCCTGAATCCAGAATTAGGAAATACCTTCCCAAGCTAAAAGCAGTTGCAGAAAACTGGCTAATGTGACAGTGCCTAGTTGGTTAGCAAGAGTGGAGGAGATAAAGTACCTGAGGTGACCAATTTGCCATCCTGACACTGGCTGTATGAAGGTCTTTTACTGCAGCTTACAGCATTGTGTTTTGATGGCACTCTAGTAGCCTGGAGGTTTTGGGGAAGGGAACAAGGATTCCTGCAGTCCTGTAGCATCGGTGACTGGGGCGTTCTCGTTTGCAGGCTTGCGGAAGGTCATGGTCCGTGCCCATCGGCAGGCTTGGTGCTGGCAGGATGAGTGGTATGGGCTCACCATAGAGGATATCCGGCAGCTGGAGAAGGAGGCACAGTTGATGCTGGCTCAGAAGATGGCCCAGTTCTGCAGTGAAAATGATACGGAGCAGCACGGGGTCAAAGATGCTCCAGGTGAGAAGGACGTTGAAGCCAGCGCAGTTTCCCCTGTCGACACAGAGGATGCTGCTGGTAACAGTGAAACAGCCTCTGGGAGATCGCTCACCAAGCAGTGGTCCACCTCTTCCAAGTCCTCACGATCTTCAAAGAGAGGAGGTAAGATGCTGCTGATGCCCTGCTCTTCTGAACTGGGAGGGAGATTGGGCTTTTGGGAGGTATGACCCTGTCTCCTTGTGGCTGGCACCTTTGGGACAATGAATCCTTCTAACTCTGAGGTCTTCTCTACTGATGTTGCAGGCTCAGACTCCTCAGGTGACCTGTTATGGGTTTGGGAATGTTTCTAGTCATCCCATTACTGTGACTCAGTGGCACGTGGCAGAATTCTTGCCAATCTCAAAAGCAGAGGAGCTATGGAAGAACAGCAGAAGAGTAGGCAGCAGCTGGCTAGCAGCACTGGGTCTCCGGAGAGGACAGACAGCGGCGCAGAGAGTTAGTCCTTGTGACCCAGGAGCTGTGCTCCTTGGCTGGGTTTCTGGGCTACTACCTGCCATTCACTTACGAAGTGGGTGTTGGGCTCTGTGGGTGCTGCAGTGTAGCTCTTGGAGAAACAGCCCCATCAGCTACTGAGGAGATTAGGGCAGGTACCCCCAGAAAAGTGGGTGTGGGCTGCTGCCTTCCACCGGTGATGTGCCTTCTGCTGTCCTAAACTTCCCTTCCTCGGGCCGTTCCATGCAAAGGGGTGAATCCCCAGCGAGCTTCAGACAGAAGGCTTGAACCCTCAGCGGTTCCCTTTCCGTTGAGCCAGGTGCAGCGGATAGCAGGGTAATATCGAGGGGGCAGAAACATCCCGATTTTTCTGAAAACCCCAAGGGGCAGCATGTCTTGCATGATGGTGGAAGGGGACATGTAGGTGCATGAAGCTTCTCCACCTCACGTGCTCTAGATACGGAGTCGAGTCTCCGTTTCTATTTACCAGCATCGCTGGTTTCCTCACGGGGTAAGAGCTGAGCAGTGGTTTTACCTTGCGATGACTCACCAGAGTGAGCCCCAGGGAAGAATCTACCAAATGCTTCATAAGGCATCGTATAAAGATAAAAATGCTGGCTACTTGGCTTGCGCCAGGATTTTATTGTGACATGCTCATCCCTCGTTATGCTCTTTGTTATGCACCCCGTCTTCCACCGACACCTTCATTGGAAGCTGTAGTTTTTAGACCTCTTAGGATTTCACTGGTAGGTTTTCACTGGTAGCAAAGCATGAATTTCTTTTAAACTGCAAAATGTCTCAGCTTTGACCAGGAAAAGTAATGAAAGAAATGAATTGTGATGTGCTGGGAAGTACGTCATGCAGATATTTTAATCCTTCTTGCTGGCAGCATATTAACATATGGAAGCAAGGAGGGCTGTCTTGACTTTCCGCTACCTCCAGCTGGAAGAAAAGCAACGCCTTTCCCCCAAAAGATCTCAGTCCTTTCTATCCCATCCGAGCGAGACCTCTGGTGACAGCAGGACCCTTGTCGCCATCCCATATGTTATTATATGCTCTATTTTTAGCAACTATTATGCGAGTGCCTTGACGTCACTCCGGCGTGAATTAGCACTGCTCTGCCAACCCTCCTCGCTTGCTGCTCCCAAAGGGGTGGGCGGTGGGGTACATGGGGGCTGCCGAGCCAGCGCTGAGCCGCAATTAGATGACTCTGCGCAGGGTCTCCATCTCTTTCCATGTGACAACCGGGTAGCAAGATGAGAAGAATTTGACTTACAGATTTAACGCTGTTACAACAATAGCGTGAAACAGCTCGTGCAGCTGTCACAGTAACCAGAGCCTTTCCGTGCCTTTGAATATGCTAAACGAGAATTTGTCAGTCTCCTCAGGTTTTTGCTGCGTTAGGGTAGGTGGCTGCTGCAGGCGCTTTGTGTGTACTGTGTGACACGCAGGAGCCATCTGAAAGAGGGGAGAAACCCTCCTGCCATCCTCCCCCCTTCAGCAGACGGCTGTTCTGGAACAGGTTCAGCCAAGAGGAGCTCAGGCTGGAGCATTGCTAAATGATATCTGCAAGACAAGAAGGAAAAAAGCCGTAATATGTTTATGTTTAGTGCAGGGAACTCGGGAGAGGAAAACGAAGGGGAGCGGGTAGGTGGGAGAAGAGGAGGGCACACGTGAGCCAAAAGGACCGTTGGGTTTCCTCCTCGCTCGGTCAGGACAGCCGCTCCGACAGCTCCCTGTGAAGCAGTTGGGAGAGCATGTTGTTTAAATCATTCAAGTTTAAAGTTTAAATAGATGTCTAATCCAATTTGTGTGGAAGCAATTTCCTTCCAGAAAACAGATTATTTCTATCCAGGCTGCTCTGCTTAGCTACCCGCCCGAAAGTTGGCGAAGCAGCGGCGTGGTTTGTGTGCTGACGAGAGGCACGAAGAAAGCTTCCAATCAGCCTGCTTCCTTCCTAATTGCAAACTTCAAAACCCAGCTGATTTTGCACGTCCTCCTAACAATTATAAATAGCTGCCATTCAGCATAGCATAGGAGTGATACAAACAGCTTGCTTTCATGTAGCATCTTGCAGGCAGGTTCGAACAACAGTAAACAAACGGGATCTGTAAAGTGGTACACTGACATCACACCAGCATCACCGGGGTTTGGGGGTTTTAGTATTGCAGCAGCAAATTTTCATAGAGAACACACGACTCTTCCTCCAGCAAAGATCATGTTGGGAACTCTCCGTTTTGTCGCTGTAGCATCTTGCATAAGGCTTTTTTGTTTTTTCCAGCAAGTCCCTCACGCCATAGTATCTCCGAGTGGAGGATGCAGAGCATTGCCAGAGATTCAGACGACAGCTCAGATGATGAATTCTTTGATGCACATGGTATGTGGAGCCTAAATCACCATCGTTTGTTTCCTGACGTGGTGGGGTAAGAGAACGGAAGGCGTGAGGGTGGGGGGCGAGCGGGGAAGGAAGCGAGACGACTTTTGCTTTGTTTGAAGTCTGCTCCTTTCTAACCAAGGTACGTGCAGCATCGGTGCAGCTTCTTCAAGCATCCCTGGCATCACCCAGCAGACTCCTACATTTAACATAGCATCGTTTCAGATTCAGTGGGATCTATTTGAAGGGTTCTTGAGCACTCGTAACCTTCAGAGCTGTATTTTATTTGATGCAAATGAGCGTGGGTAAAATTCAGCAATGCTAACTGGACTGTGGGTGTGTCCTAATGATTCTGATCCAGTTATGACTGATTGTTTTTCTAATTTAGTTTTTAATCAGTAGGAGATACGATTGATTGTCTTGTCTGGGCCGGAAGAGACCCAGGTTTGCCTTTATTAACTCCTTATTCTCCCATTCCAAGAAACACAATAGTGAATGCAACAAGGTATTTCAGGTGCCAGAATTAATCAGTCTTGGTTCCAGAATTCTCAAAGTAATTTTGACTCTCCGTATGAGGAGAAAGCTGTGCTATTTTTCTCTCTATGCATGGGTGTGTGAAGCAGCTTTGTTCCACTGCACTCATTTTAATATATTGTACTTAATGCGTCTTTAAGCCTGAAAGGCTCCGTCTCTGCCGACAACAGATGGACCCTTCCCTCGGCTTGTAATGCTAATCTAAGTGAGACGCGCGACGTACGCTGCTGAAGTTAGTGACCTTTCTGCGCAACGCAGTTGTCAGAAGATGACGCCCCAGTTTTGTAAAGCAGAATTTCACTGATGTTCAGCTACAAATCAGTCTCAAAAAGCTGATAGTATCGTGTTCCAGAAGAGCTCTCGCGTCAAGTATTTAGGCATGCAGCTCAAATTCTGGGGTAGAAGAGGGCATGCTATTGAAGTAGCAGCTTAAATGGCTGGGAAGCGTGTAAGTCAGGATGAGCATATCCCTTGCCTGGAAGAAGGAGGGCCAGCTTAGTTGAAGTGTCTCTGTTAATTTATGTAGCATCGTCAAAAACTGTGTAAGGGGTTTATTGTAGCAATACACATACAAGAAAAGAGGAGTGAGTCATCGAAGCGGCATCATTACTATCCACCCTCTTTTATACCTTTTTAATTACTCAGTAATAAAAATGAGACAGAGATGGCTCTGCCTGGGAGCCAGGCCCACAGGGAGTCCCTGACCTGCTCCTAACGGGAAGGAGGGTTAACAAAAATGAGACCTGTGCCACAGTTGGTGTCAGCATCTCTGCAATACTTGCAGTGCTTGGAGGAGCTTGCTAACAGAAAAAGCAGCTCCTCTTCTGCTAGCATGCAGCGTGTCTCCATTTACGTACAGATCGTCCTCTGCGATCCGCACAGTTGGGTTCGAAAAGTCTGCCTGGTCGGATGGGATTTTGGCTTAGGAGTTGAAGCCTTGGTGCATGTGCTGTTTGACACAGCCCTCTCTTCGGGAGGGACCTCTCGTTGCCCCTTGGCCTGCAGATGCCGTGTCCCAGCTCCAGGTCTGTGAGCAGGGATGAAGCTCCACTTGCAGCTCATCCTGCCGGGAAGGCTTGCAGGGTCAGTACCATGGGAACTGGCACAGATCAGGATGTGGTGCTTCCCCTCCACACACACATTTCCTCTCGGTGCAGTGGGCGTAACCTGAGCAGGAGAAGGCTTCTTGTTGCGGGCTTCCCACTCATCCTCATTCCCTGGCATGCTCTGGTAAAGATAGTGACAAATACAGTAATATCTAATATCTATCCTGTAATAAATGCTAATAACGGGAGTAATATCCCATTCAGTGATCACTTGAGCAGCAATAAGGGCTGTAATTAAACCTCTCAAGGAAATAAGTTTAATATTTAGATTAAGTTGCTGGAGGAGCTTTGAGTGCAATCTTCCTCTTAATTCCCTGCCAGCATGTGTGTTGCATGCTTGTGGTTTCCACTTGCTCTGAGCAGGTAGCTCGGCACTCCCTGGTGCAGGGAAATGGGGATTTACTCAATTTTTTTCCATAGCTGAAAAAGGAAATGGCATGCTGATGCAAAGTTTCCAGGTCACTCTCTTCTTATGGTCAAAGTGCAAAAAGAAACTCCTAAAAATAATTGGTCTTTGCTTGGATCTGCACTTAGTCCCCTTCATATATCTTTTTTTTTTTTTTTTAACTACTGCTCAGATTTGCTGAAAAGTTGTTCAGGCTCAGGCTGAGAGCAAGCCTCCCGTGGGGGAAGTCCACATGTAGAATCCTGTAGGTTGGAAGAGACCTTGGAGATCACCAAGTCCAACTGTTAGTGCTGGATAGTGTACCCCAGGCCAGCAGGCATGGGGAGTGTGGGGTATCCAGCGGGGGGCACTGGAATGAATTCTTCCTGTGCTCTGGCTGCTGATGGCCTGTTCGGTGATGCCTCCTCAGGGCTCAGCTGCTTGTTTTCCTGTGGATGCACCAGCAAAGCCCGTGGGCAGGCAAGTCTGGACCCCTGCCTAGTCAGGCTTTCGCTGCCATGAATTATGGGCACAAGCACAAGCCTGCTTTTCCATGTTGCCTGCCTTTCTCCCCTAACCTGGCACAGCTCCTCCAATAGCTGCTCCAGAGCTAGGCTATTTATTTTACATTCTGGAGTTACATTCATAGTTACTACTATGGTTTGTTTTTTTTTATAGAGCCTTTATATGCTGCTTCCTTTTATATGCCACTTCCAGGTAGATAACATTTTTGGGACCCTTACTCTTTATCAGCTGTAGTTGAAATGAGCCAGGGGATTCAGATGATGCTGAGGTAGGAGGGAAATGGCAGACACGTGCCCTCGGTGTGATCAAACAAGTCTCATCTCCGAAGGAAATCAGGCTAAAGATAGCCCAGGGAGTTCATGTTTCCTTTAATACCCATGCCTTTTGAGGTATTTGGTCCTTTAACAACAGTGAATCTTGCCACTGCTTCCCCCAAAGGCCTCCTGCAGCTTTCAGACAGGTCTGGGAGGATCCCAGTAGCAAATGCTGTATTTTGTTCTCTCCTGTACTGGAGCATACTGGTTGCTTTAGCATCATCAGAATGTATGGCAAGAAAAGGTCAGACTTGGTACCGGAAATGGTAGCATTGAGAATCCACGTTATTTTTTCCACACCTTAGGAATTTTGTTTGTTTAAAAAAAATGCAACTAAAAAATTTTGTTTAACTTTTCAAAAGGTATTTTGGTTTCTAGATAAGAAAAGCTGGTAAAGTGCCCTGTTTTGTTATGACTTAAGCTATCCAAATGTTTATAAGATTACATAGACTTACGGGGCCTTACTTTGATTTAAAATTCTGTTCTGTGCTCTTGTCTGTGTACATATTTGTGTGTGTGTGACTCTCCAAAAAATCTGTTTTTTAAAGAGGACTTGTCTGACAATGAGGAAATGTTCCCGAAAGAAATAACCAAATGGAGTTCCAATGATCTGATGGATAAAATTGAAACCCCCGAATGCGATGATGTCCAGGGTAATTTTTTTTTAAGTAAAAACTGCATGTGGTATTTTAGAGCGTTTCTGGGTAATTGTTACAGCCACATTCTGAAAAGTAAAACTCGTTATCCTCATCTCACAAAAGGAGAAGCTGAGACAGAGCATAAAAATGACTTCCCAGTGCTGCCGAAAGAGAATTGCCCAGTGGGAGCTGGGATGGCTCTTGATTCTTTTATTTTCCGCGTTGGTGAGGCTCCTTTGTGCGACAGCCAGGGTCCTCTCCTATAATGATGAAATATTCCAGCTCTGTCTTGAATGACTTGAATTTCTCTTGATTCTTCCTTCCTCTTGCTCCATCCTTTGCTCTTGTCTGTATCTGTCTCAGATTTATTTTCTGCTCATTATTTTGAAAGGAAATTAGTTCCTCAGCCAGATCGATCCATGTAGCAGCGTGGTGGAAGATGACACGTAGGTTTTCTGGTGCAAAGTCGGTGTGTGTAGGCACAGGCGTATGAACACATCGCATCTCTGCTCCCCAGCATAGTTCAAGCAATTCCTTTTATTTTCCTACAAACCAATCATTTCTGACAGTTGTGCAGGGATTTCCCATTGTTGCCATCCTTGATAAAGCGATGGTACTGGATCGCTGTAGTGAGGGAAGAGCTCACTGTTGTCTTTAGCACTTATCAGGATGATGAGAAATTGCTGGAAAATGAGGGACTCAGCGTTGCCCAGGCTTCTCCGGTGGCAGGAGGCGGGAGGGGGAGGGCAATTTGATGAAATAATTAAGGAGATGTGAGGCAGAAGATGCTGAGAGGCATTGGCACAGTGTCTTTATGAAGGAGTGTCTTAGCCAAACAGCATCTCGCAGCGCTGACGTTTGAAACCTCTGTGCTTCCAGGTGACCTGTATCACGAGACATCAGCAGAGTACCATGTGGGCTCCAGCGTGGAGAGGCTCAGCATCATTGAAGTGAGTGCTTCGGTTTCTCCTACCGAGATCCTTCGTTGCTGGAACATGTCCCTGTGGGGTAAATGGGGTAAACGGCTGTGAGCAGTGTGTTGTCTTCGTGTGTCATTCGGAGCCACACTGGCATGCTGTGTACTTCAGGGCTAGGTTTAAGGGATTCTCTCAGCAGTCTTTCAAACATCAAAGAGGAAATGCTCTGTAGTTTACAGGCAGTGTCAGGTGTCCAGCTAGAAAAAAAAAAAAATACTAACCCCGTGGGGATAACTGCAGCCTGAGGCACTGCTGGGCAGAGCATCCTGCTAGTGCCCAGTGAGCAAGTGCTGGTGTGGGAGCAGGAGTTGCTGCTGCACCAAGGTGCAGGCTGCGGTGGTCCAGGTGACACAGTTTGGCCCTAGCCCCGCTCTTTAGAGCTGCTCAGGGTCTTGTTTGGAAACCAGTTAGAACATAGCCTGTAGCAGTGCTCTGGACAAAATAATAAATAATAATCCCCCCCAGCTTTCTACACTTGAACATATACAGGCTTTTGCAGTGCAGTGTCACAGTTGGACAGGGCATCTTGGAGTGGCTCTACTCATCCCACCCTAAACGCATCTGCCTGTGCTGCAGAGATGATGTAGCTGCTTGCAGAATGCCTGTGGAACTGCTAAGTTATGTCGTGGTCTATTAAAGACCGTGAGCGTGGTTTTGGTATTACTCTATGTGCCAGGCTGTACATTCCTGGTTTGGCTTTTTGGTAACAGACTGCTTGCTCAAGGGCCATGGGGAGAGTGGGTGGCTGGGGACAGGAATGGCTCTAGTCACCTCAGGATGAGCAAGTCACACGCCTAAGATTTCTCTCAGAGCTCAAGGTGGGGTGGAGAACTTGTCTTATTCAGAGGGCTGTACCAGCTCAACCCTCTCCCGTTTCTGCCTTTGTTTTAGAAAAAGAACAGACCTCAAAGTGAGGTGAAAAGGACAGTTACTTGTAGTTGTTCACAGTCTGCTAAAATAGGATGACATTCCTAGCCACCATTGCCGTGATTTTCAGGTTAAGAGCCTCCATCACCAAAAGGTAGTTCAGGAATCAGGTGCTTTAAAAGACTCCAGATCTTGAAGTTTGAAATAGCCACCTCCACCCCTAAACTAATGAGCAGTCGCCTGCTGTTCCCCACTTCCTCCAAGAGCAAAGGTTAATGAACGGGAAGGGGAGGGTGCCTCCAGATGACTGCTAATAAAATTTTGGATGACCTGAGCTTGGTGACTCATGTTGTTCTCTGCATCAGCACGTAAAACATTTGTCTGAAAGCAGAAGGGGTGCCGAGATGCTGCAAGACCTCCTCCCATCCCTCCAGCCAGGCAAAAGTTTGCTTTGCCAGTGCTGTAAACTGGAATCAGAGAAGGTTTGCAGAGCAGGCATTAATACACTGTAATGGTACTAAATAATTAAAGGCCGTTGTTATGCAGGAGGTCTGGAAAATCTGTATTACAGGCTTGGATGTGAATTTTAAGACTCCTGGTGGGCTGTATATTAAGACATGCTTTAACATTATCTGGTAAAAACGCAAGCTAGTTGTGAGGTTGCTGATGTGTGCCTGGGCTTTCCTCCCACCAGCACGTTTGTCAGGGACTCGATCACTGCTCAGAGGGCAACAGGTGACTGAAGAAGCTAAAACTAGAAGAATTTGCCAAATGGAAAATACTGCTGCCCCCTCCCAACCCCACCCCACC